TTCACAGAAAATGAGGCTCCAGGGCAGACCGTAATTGTGAGCCCTGCTGGGGCCCCAGGAGGTGCCCCAAAGCACTGCAATTCTGATTCAGGACCTGGTGGTGGATTTGAATGCTTTCCTGTGCAAATATTCCTTGTAAATTAAAAATGTGCTGTCAGGGAGAAAGGTTCCGCTCCAGTCCACTTTCTGAGCACAGGAAGGTTTTGAACAAGGGAGCATTTAACCATATGATTTCCCCTCTACCTAGTGTCTGAAAATATAGTCTGTTCTACCACCTCAACGGACTTTGTCACCTAATTACCACTGCCTAACTCCAGCTCATACATACAGACCAGGCCTCAGATGATGGAGGTGATAGGGCAAGCCCCATTATTTGTTGACATGTCCCATTGCGGCAACTACTAAACTTTCCATAATCTCTTATACATCTGGATTGGCATCTGGATGAGAAAGAGGCGTCATTCCTCAAGGAGCAAAGCTGCCATACGGCAGGCCTCCAGAATTTGTGAACCACATACCTCATCACCTGTGGTCTACTAGCATCTCTCTTTCTCTCACACTGTTTTTAAAATAGTCCCAAGAAGGCTGAAAAGCCAGACAAGTTATCAGGCTTCCATAGTTACAGGGAATAAATGGAGAGAAAGAAGACTCTGCTTTGAAATAGCTGAAAGGAGAAAGAAAATCACCCTGAAGAAGAGTTTTCTTGTTTGAAACAGGTCTAGCCTTTTCAGAAACTCTTGTTCATAATAAGATACAGCACACTTCATATTCCCTGACTCTCAATATCCTATGTGGAGGGGTCATGTGGGCGCTCATTGAAAGTGGGGTGATTAATGAGGCATAGGACCCTTGCGTTTAGATGAATCTCCAAATGCATGAGAGCAAAGTGCTCATAATACTGGTGCATACTTCCCCTTGCTTCTGTACTGTGCTTTGTTTTGTACAGGCTTGCAACCACAACAGTTGTGTGCGATTATATTTGCTGTTTGTAATGTTTAATGAAAATAATGAAAATTATTTTAAAAAGCAAGCAAACAATAAGTACAGGGCATTGTGGCTGAAGACTCTACAGCTGTGTTCACACTCCCATTTACTGTGGATTCCAGTGCTGGGTTTTTAATCCACGTTCACACAAAGTACACTAATCCAAAACACATATGTATCATGTAGATTGGTCTAAAAGACAATTTTTTGATGTTCTCAAGTCATTCCTAATTTGTCTCTAACCAAGGTGTGAACTTCTTTGCCTAAGGTAAAAAAATGTACCATCATCTCCTGGTGTGTACAGAAGCAGAAACTACGGTAAATGGGGAAAGAGCTGTGAAATGAAGCGGGCTTGGGATGAGGGGGAGGGGAGGGCAACTTCATCTGGTCCTGTGAACACACCCTCAATGCAAAGTATCATTTGTTCGGTTTGTCAAAGTGTTGATTCCCAGAAGGGGGCTTATGGATGCATGAAAAGCTCATACAGTCCCTATCCTCAGGCTTGCACTATAAAAGACATGACACAAAAGGAAGAAGGGATGAGGAAGGAGGAGGAGGAGGGGGGAAACAACAGATTAATTTTAGAGGCCCCTTTGGGTATGCTTCCTCCCGCTTTTGGCACTGGCATGGTGCAGTTCTTGTCTCTGGCTGAGTGTGAGATCAGATGGTGCTGTTCGGTCAGCATACTCAGCTTCCCTCTCTTGGCTCCAGGGGTGTCCCTGAGGAAAAGCTCCGTGCTTCAACGTTCACCCAGAACATGAACAGCTGCCGTGAAAAAAATACGCCGCCAGTTTCGGTGGGGAATCCTTTCTCAAAACAACACAGGTTAAAACCCCACCGTGGCCCTGTCTGTGATATGAGGTTTCACCTCCCTTCTTCTCCTGCTTCCTCCTTTCCGGATTAAAAAGTTTTTGGGAGCAAGAGCCCCTCTCTTCCTCCTCCCCCTGCCCGCTCTCCACCAAGTCCTTAGAAATCCAGACATATTCATCACCTCTTTACTTGATGAGTTGATGGAGCTCCTTCTATCTAGCACTCTTCTTGTCTTCAGGTACTTCTTGGAAAGAAGCTGTCACTTCCACACAAATGTCAAATACCAGGGATGGTGGGGGGGAATGTTTGCAATGCTCAAGGAATCTGGTTCATGTCCCTGACCCCAACCCCTTCCCCAGTTGCCCTCCCAGAGATTAAGCCATAGCAGAGGAACTGGCTCCCAACTTCTTACTCAGATTGCTCAAGCACCTGCCCTCCCTGCAACCCCCGGCCCTAAAAAACCCATTACTATTATTATTACTATTATTATTATTATTATTATTATCCCATCCATGGCACAAAGCCTTGGCATTACATCTCACCTCACAACACACTGTGTGATCTTAAGAAGCTGGGTGCCTATAGACAAGTACTGGCAAAACAAAACTGTGCCTTGTTCCATTTCTTGAGGACCGGCATCTTGATTAGGCAAAATGGAATAAGATGGATGCACACATATACAAAGATCCTTGGGCTGGGGAGGGGCCTCAAAATTATTATTCAAATGTTAATCATTTATTTTTAGTTTTCTGTTTGTTTCCAGCTTTTAATATCTCATTTGAGTTTTCAGTAACCACCAACACCTTAGCTACTATTTTTATCCAGCTTCAGACAGCTTGCTATCAATCCAACAAGAGGTGATAATCTTACCGCATGGAGCCAGCTTTTTTGGGTTGGAGGCTTATGCTCTTAGGACATGAACCAATAAAAACAATTTGTACATAACGTCTGTTGAAACACCACAGCAAGAAAGCTTCAGGCAACCCATGATCGCTGATTAATATGGTTGCTCGAATGGATGCGCTGGCTGGGCAGGGAGGCAGATAGGTCAATATAGCCTCACAAGGAAGGAGACAGTGGAGAAATTTCCAGAATAGAATAACCTCAACTTGAAATCTGGACAGCTATTGCCAATCACTGTAGACAATGCTGAGGCTTCATCCAGACTTCCTTTTGTGCTGTATTTCCATACCTCCAACATTTCTCCAATTAAAATAGGGACATCCTAAATAATAATAATAATAATAATAATAATAATAATAATAATACCTCACCCATCTGATTGAGTTTCCCCAGTCACTCTGGGCGGCTTCCAACATATATAAAAACATAATAAAACATTAAACATCAAACACTGAACTGCCTTCAGATGGCTTGGGGGTTGGATAACTCCATACCCTCCAACATTTCTCTGATGAAAATAGGGATGTCCTAAAGAAAAGCAGGACATTCCAGGATCAAATCAGAAACCAGGACAGCTTCTCCAAATCTAGGACTGTCCCTGGAAAATCAAGACACTTGGAAGGTCTGTGTTTCTAGACACAGGTCCACACTGCGTCAGAGTGCTTTTTTTCTTTTCTTTTTTTGCCCCAACACTTTCCCCAGGAAAACCTATTGAGAACAAAAGAAATAAATGCAAGAACCTAGTTTTATTTCATTTCTTATTACGCTGAAGAAAAATGCTGAGGTCACCCAGTACAGCTGGGAACAGGTTTAAGACAGCTATAGGCCTCACAGGCACTGTGCATTCAAAGAAGTATCATACTGCTTTAAATGGCTGTGGCTTTCCACAATGAATCTTGGGACGTGTAGTTCGCTAAGGGTGCTGCGAGCTGTTAGGAGGACCCCCCCCCCATTGCCCTCACAGAGCTACAATTCCCAGAGTTCCTTGGGAAGAGGAATTGACAATTTAAGAATGCTGGAATGACCACCGTGAGGGGAATAGGGGTCTCCTCACACCTGTCAGCGCAGGGACGCGGGTGGCGCTGTGGGTAAAACCTCAGCGCCTAGGACTTGCCGATCGCATGGTCGGCGGTTCGAATCCCCGCGGCGGGGTGCGCTCCCGTCGTTCGGTCCCAGCGCCTGCCAACCTAGCAGTTCGAAAGCACCCCCGGTGCAAGTAGATAAATAGGGACCGCTTACCAGCGGGAAGGTAAACGGCGTTCCGTGTGCTGCGCTGGCTCGCCAGATGCAGCTTGTCACGCTGGCCACGTGACCCGGAAGTGTCTGCGGACAGCGCTGGCTCCCGGCCTCTAGAGTGAGATGAGCGCACAACCCTAGAGTCTGGCAAGACTGGCCCAAACGGGCAGGGGTACCTTTACCTTTACCTTTACACACCTGTCAGCAGTCAGCACTTATAACAAACTACAGCTCCCATGATTCTTTGGGGAAAGCCATGACTGTTTAAAGTAGTAGAAATATTTAAATATTTTGTGCAGATGAAGCCATAGTCTCTCTCCATTACATTTAAAACATAAGAAGTCACTTGCCACAGGGATTATGGCAACCTCCACAATAAAGGGCTGTTTGTGTTGTTTTAAACAGTATTATATATTGGTGGAAGACCTGTGGTTACTAGCCACAATGGCCAGAGACACAGCAACCCTGCTTAGAGGCCACACACCTCAAGTAACAGATACTGAAGACAAATGACAGGACGTAGAATATCTGATTGGTCATGGTCAGAAACTGCGTCCCAAGGTAGACGGGCTATTTCTCTGATACACAAAATAAAAAGAATGTTTCAAAACACGTATACACGTTTTTATACACGTACAGGCATAAGAATGTTTGAGTAATTATATAACATTTAATTCTGCACAAATGAAGAAGACGCATATCTAATAGCATATATGGGAGCGAGGGCAACCCAGTCCTCTGTGTGTCTTCATTATAGATGACAAGTGACAGAAATAAACCCTAAATCTGCTAGAGGCAGGAGGGGGAGGCTAGGGTGAGATCTCTTGCAAGGAACAGGCGAACATTTGAGTGACACATGGGTCTGTGGACACCCGGCCTCCTCTCCCCTACTCTCCCCCCCACCCCCGCCAAGCCAAGCCAACCACCCTCCTGGCTTCTCCCTCTCAAGTCAGCAAAAAATACCTTCTCTCCGCAGAAGGCCATATGTGAGTTGGTGGCTGAGGTGATGTCAGCACCAGTCACCCAATGGGGGCCCACCGACAATGTCCGGGGATCTGGGCCCCGGTCTGCCTCATAAGGACGTGTGCCAGCCTCCGAGCTCGGTGAAGGCTTCTGTGCGAGGACGGGTCGTGTGGGCTTTCCCTCCATCGTTGGATACCGTGTGCCAAGGACCATGGTCTGTTGAGAAGGAGAAGGAACTCAAAAGGGGGCACGAGTGACCGCACAAGTCAGGGGGGTCGAAGAAGCAGGCCGAGCCGACAGGAAGAGAGGAGCACCTTTTCACACAGCAACGGGGCAGCTGTGGTTGGGCAACGATGGAAAACGCCCACGCCAAAACAGGGGAGGAGTGCTTGGCTTACTTTGGAGTGAATGAGCATTCAGGCCTCTCTCCCGAGCAGGTGAAGAAGCACCTGGAGAAATACGGATACAATGGTGAGTGGCTACCTGAGTTATAGGACCATGTTGGTACCCACACGTCGAGGTGCCAGGATGCAGAGAAGGGCAGAGGGAGGGAGGGAGGGAGATGCGTGGAAGGAAGGATGCAGCTGAAAGGATGGCCACCTAAAAATGGATACGAGAACCAAAGGAAAACCAAGGATGATCGGGCGAGAGATGGACAGGTGGATGGATGCAGAGCCATGGCTTCTAGATGAAAAGGGCGGATGCACACACAGAGAGGAGGTGGAAGGGTGGGGTTTCAGTACATGCCGAAGAAGAATTGTTACATAGGCACAGGAAGGGAAGGAAGAGCCCCATTAAGTAGGCAATGGAAGGTGAACAGGGATGGAGGCAAAAGCAAAGGAGAAGAGCACTGAAGATTATTAGGATGGTGGGAGGTAGCCAGGCTGGGGACAGGGCAGCTGCTGCTTTGCTAAGAATAACCCAGTAATTCCCTTTGGTATGAAACAGATATTAAAATTGCTGATGGGCAACTTGTAGGAGCAGCCGGGAGGTTGCCTTGGGGGGGGTTTGATATTCCACAGCCGCTAAGGGACAGGCTGGCTGGATGCAGGGTAACTGGGGAGGGGGTGATGTCCTTGGGGAACATGAGTTTAGCAGTTAAGTGAAATGGTAGTGGTTTATTGGGAAGGGTGTCAATATGAAGAGGGGAGGCTTTTTTGTTTGCTTGTTTTTGCAGGGGGTAGTAGTATCCTGCTGAAGATGCAGACAGTTAAGCAACAAGGACAATGTATTCCTCCCTGTCTCCCCATGCATGATATCCTCTAGGATCCAAGTCTTAACTTTTAGAGAAGGGAATTGGAGGGGGGGGGTTACAGGACACAAGTACATGGCACAGATATGATAAGGTGGGGTTGCTGTGAGTGTGTACCTATGCCATGTTGTGTTATGCACATGAGTATGCAACTGGCTGCAACTCCTTGTGGAGTCCTGCTAACAAGGGGCACCTCACACCCAACTTACGGTAATTCTGCGGCAGCAGCTCTGGCCCAATGGCTTCTTTCAAAACTATAGCCCATAACCTTTTGGTAGAAGGCCCCTTTGCTGTCTGTAGCTGAGACCCATGTCCACCTCACAATTAACCTGTGTCTGCCTCACAATCAGTTCTATAATCCTAAGCATGACCCCATGGCTTGTTTCTAACTGTTCAGTTCTGATCTGCGATATTAACCTTCAACTCCATGTGAGAAGCCAGCCTCATTAACTTAACCACAGAGCCTTTCTTCTCTGTCTCCATCTTTGCCTGACAATCCAGTCCACAAAGTCATAATAAAACACAACCCTAACCCGCTTCTCTCTCTCTCTCTCTCTCTCTCTCCCCCACAGAACTCCCAGCTGAAGAAGGTGAGTCCCTAATACTGGTGTGGAAAGATGTTGGGAAGTGTTAGGACATAGGAAGCCCCACTGTACCCTGATCTTACCTGGCTCAAATTCTCCCTGCTGACTTTGTAAAGCAGCAATTACGGCTGCCAGGTCTCTATTTTTGGCTTTAAGTTTTAAACCTTTAGCCATCTTTCCGGTTTTCCAAAGCAAGGACTAAAATGTCAAGAACTATAATCAATGGGGCTTTTTTTTTTGCTTGCCCTGAAAGGTTTTCCCATTCTCTTCAGCTTACCCTTCCCATCAAATTTCAGCCTGAGGCACCAAGCACAAACAAGTTCATCCCCTAAACAGCTACTAGGCCTCACCTGTATCCCACCAGGCTCCATTGACAATCTCCCAGTCTCCATTCACAGGCTTCTTCTTGCCCAAGCCTCATGGCACCTGGCTATCCTAACAGACAGACCATACACTTGCCTTAAGAAAAGAGGGTTGGGTATACACCAGCCTTTGAGGTGTTGCTGAGCCAGCAATGTGGGTTGTGGGGCCACTTACAAGAAAAGAGGTGATTTCTTCCTTTCACTTATGGGAAAGGGGGTGAACATTGCTCTGGAGGGAGAAAAATCAGCTTGGAGGAGGCAATCTGGAGAGATGTTAAGCACCAAGATGTTAATAGCAGAGATGTTAAGCACCAACCACCACTTCTTAGCCACAAGTTCCCTTCCTGAAGTGACTTGTTCTCTGTCAGGCTTTTGTTAATGCGTAGTTATGAAGGACCTTCCTTTGTTCTCCCTTCAGTTAGACCCTCAGGGGGTATCCACACTTCCTCTTATCTGCTCAATTGAAACAAATGGCAATTCAGAATTTTCTGGATTGACATTTGCTCCAATTTAGCGCTAAAGAGTGGCTTTTCCCTTGGAATGGAGTGGGGCAAGGGGAAAACTGATTGGACCTGTGCTTTCTAGGCATGGCACAAGTGGAAATGTGAACGAGCCCTCAGGAAAAGAGCACCTGGGGGGCTTATAGCTCACCTAGACGTCCCTGTCTAGGCTTTGCTCGAAACCTATCATAGAGAATCCATCTTTCATGGCAAACGTACGTCATTTCAGGTGCCCTCCCCAATCCCTTTCTAGCTAACTGCCCTCAGAAACTGGAATTTTTGTGCCCTCTGATCCTTTAACACCTCCCTTTCTTGCTTGTCAGGCAAAACCATTTGGGAGCTGGTGGCGGAACAATTTGAAGACTTGCTTGTCAGAATCCTACTACTCGCTGCTTGCATCTCCTTTGTAAGTGACTGTGGCCCTGTGGGTGAGGAAATTTGGGTTACTCAGAGAAGGGCCTTTGAAATACAGCCAGCATTGGGAAGGAGAGGCGAGCGGTTTGGGGGCACATGGAGGGAAACAGTCAAAAGGAGACACATCCTAGGCAAGAGATGAACCGATTTCCTTTAGAGTCAATGGCTGATGTGTACCAATGCCCGTAGTTGGTGTGCTGAGAAGCTTTGCTCTTCAGTGAGCTGCCATATTGATAAGCTGCATCATCAATCACTGGAAGCATTTACTGGGACCTAATATGACTCAAGCCTCAGTTTTGGAACATATTCTATGGTATGGCACACGGTATGCGTGAAGTAATGTTAAAGAAACATCTGAACATCTGGAGAGTTTATCTCTCCACCACTATTTAAATGTAAAATGTTTCCAGATGTACACATCCAAGTCAGGGCACTGTAGGGTCCCGTCCCCCCCAGCTTAAGCCAAACTACCCTCTCTGACTGCATGCACAATGCTTTAGACAGGTTGCATTGTGCACTGGTTCGATAGACTGTCTTCCCTTCATGCTTAGGGGTTAGAGATATACTAGTTTCCATTCAATCGGGGCTGTGCATGGCTAGCTTCTGCTATGAATCTGTAGAACCAATTTCCCCTGAACTCATCCCAAGAGAGTAGATTGTAGAGAAGGCTGTCTAGGCGAAAATGTAGTGATTGTGCTTTTACAGCAGGTGTATCTCTCAAATTATATACTTCTGTATCCACCCAAATTAGTAAATAAACTGAACCTGGCAATAGGGCATGGGGATAACTTAGCTTTTAGGCTCCTGTATGTAGAAAATGAGTTCCCTCACATTAATGGGGGAGCTCGCCAACCAGCTCCAAAACCTCTTTGCCAACTTCCCTGCTTCACTCCCACCATAACTACAAAATGGAAGCGACAGAAATGGACGCTTCCCTCCCCTCATCTTGCCTCTCCACAACTTGCCTCACTGCCCGGTTCCTTGACACTTGAGATGCAGCCACCTTGGGCCGTGATACTAATTTCTGGAAGAGCACATGGCCTGGCTCAGCACCAAGAGGTCGCTGTAAAGGTCACCGTTAACGGCCTAGTTCTCAGGTAGCCTGAGCCCCTTCACCTCACTGCTCCTCAGAAAACCCAGGATACCTGGCATTTTCTTGGCCAAGGAGAAGAAGGCATTTGTGACCAGGCTTGCTGTGATCCAGCAACTAGTAATTCTCTCATTCCCTCTCTCAGGCAAATCACCAATTAGTGTGCTGTATTACAGGGATTCTGGAGTGAGGCAACAGTATCTTGTATAGACTCTGGTGAACCTATAGAAGCTACAGTCTCCCAGGTGTTGCTGGACTCCAGCTGCCATCAGACCCAGCCAGCCAACATGGCCAAAGAATCTTTGCTATGCTTGTACATGGCAAGCTGGAGAGAGAACAAGTTGTGATATTTTTCTATCTCTTAGGCTTATCCACACTTCCTCATCCCTCTGCTCCCCCCCCCTCCCGGGAAAACTGCTATTTAGCACTCAATCAATCGTAGCAAATGGCAAAATGAACTTGACATTTGCTTCTCTGATTTAGCACTAAATAGCAGGTTTTCCCTGGGAAAGGAGCGGAACAAGGGACAAAAACACTTGGACCGCCTGGGTCAAGCCGAAAACTGCCTGGACCTGTGCTTTCTAGGCACGGGACAAGCAGAAGTGTGGATGAGCCCTTACACACTCATACCTCTTTCAGATGACGGATCCCAGGTCTAGTCTTTATTTCCTTTTCTGCAGCTTGACTTTAAGTTTTTACACTCCGGAAACTTAATTAAGCACACAAGCCAACCTAGGAACATTTGGATTCTTGGCAATTTGCATTTCGGACAACTTGGTTTCCAATACTGTGGTTATTTCAAGAATCAACATAGTAAAAGGTGGGCTCCTTTTGTATTGCAAATATTTGGAACTGGAAACAAACAGAAAAAAGCAACCTGTTGTTTATGGAGCAAGTTTGTTTTCTGCTACTCCAGAGGGCAGGACCTGAACCAATGGATTCAGATGACAAGAAAGGAGATTCTGACTAAACATATTCTTTAGCTCGGATTTCTGCATTGCAAGGGGTTGGATTAGATGACCCTGGGAATCCCTTCCAGCACTACATTTCTGCGATTTCATTTATTCTTTGGTAATCTTAAATATGGAGATTCCAAAACTGGCTGGGAGATTTTAACTCCATTTACAATAGCATGCTGATTGAATATCGCCCCTCTGGCAACTGTTGTCTCCACTGTGTATCCAGGACACAAGGGGAGCAGATGGGTTGCATCCCACACTACCCTTGCAAGTGTGCAAACCCTAATACCCATCTTGTGTTTACGTAACAAACACACACGGAGAGAGAAAGAGAGCATCTCTCTCCAGCAGGGGGCAGCATAGACCTGGGTCAGACTGGAACATTTCATTTGAACTTGGGAAACGTGTTTTCTTCACATCTTTAAGCTGTGCATACAATTGCACACTTGCAGCTGCCCACACAATTACACAACATCCATAGGCTTGCACACACACACACACACACACACACACACACAGAGAGAGAGAGAGAGACAAGCAGGAGCCCTTTGCACCAGAGTTCTCGGGTTTCATGGGATCAACTTACACGCTTCATCTTGTACACATGCAAAGTGCAGGCAGGGTTCAGCTGTCTCAAGATTCCAAATGTCAAGAGGAATCAAAAGGCAAATGCGATCCCAGAAGGATAAGGGAGGGGAGGGCGAAGGATGAGCCAGGATTCCTAACCGTGGAAATGAGTGAGAGCTATGCCTGCGCAAGATGGAGGCTGAGGGTCCCGCTCCCCCAGTTCTAAGCATGTGCCTCTCTTTTTTTGGCAGGTGCTGGCCTGGTTTGAGGAAGGCGAGGAGACTGTCACAGCTTTCGTGGAACCATTTGTCATCTTGCTGATCCTGATCGCCAACGCCATTGTTGGAGTATGGCAGGTAAACAAACCAACAACCATGCAAAATCAGCATTTGTATATTGCCTCAAAGGGCTTTGCACACATAATTACCAATGGCTCGGTCAGTATTGTTTTCACTGTATTGAAAGGGTGGGCTGGGCCCACAGCTCCCAGCTTCCCTGGCCTTTCACCATGCCGACTAGGGCTGATGGGAGACCCAACAACATCTATGGAGAGCCACAGCTTCCCCTGCTGTACTGCAAAGCCTAAGGAGAGAATGGAAAAGCTACAAGCAGGAAGTGGAGCAAAGGACCCACAAGGACTTAGGAAGCAGGATAAAGCAACACAATTTTTAAAAAATTATTATTACCCACCAAAGCAGCCCAAACTGCTGTGTTTCTGCTTCTTTTATTGCTTTTTTGTAGCCCAGTCATTTGGTGTGTAGGTGTCAAAGCATTGCCTCCAGAGAGGATCTTAACTATGGCTGTTGTGTCTCTTCTACTTCTAGGAGAGGAATGCTGAGAACGCCATTGAGGCTCTAAAGGAGTATGAGCCTGAGATGGGCAAGGTGTATCGGTCTGACAGGAAGTCTGTGCAGAGAATAAAGGCCAGGGAGTTGGTTCCTGGTGACATCGCAGAGGTGGCAGGTAGGTCCCGGACCGAGGCAAGGAATGAAAGTGATTGCTTCAGGGTGAAGCAGACTAGGCATAGAGTAAAGAGATTTTGGGACAGCATGGGTATCTTTCACAGCCTTTAAGGTCACACCCATACCATATATTTGAAGCACATTTCCAAAGAATTCTGGGAAATGTAATTAACTGCCCCCACAGAGCTATAATCCCCAGTGCTCTTAACAAACTATAGTTCCCAGGATTCTTTGTCAGGAAGACATATGCTTTAAATGTATGCTGCGAGTGTCACTTAAATCTCTCAGTCACAGTGGTCCGTACAGCACAAGCTCTCCGACTTAAAAGACAAACTTCGTTGGGGTGGGTTTAAAAATGGCCGCATTCAAAAAAAGAGAGGTCAAAGCAGCCTTAGCTGTTCCTGTAAAGGACACCTAGGAGAGCACACTTTGCTTCTCTATGCTTCATACCCTCTTTATGGACTGGAGTATTTTCCCCACAAGTAGGCTCATGGGTAATGAAGTCAGAGGGGGACATCCCAGCTTCCTAGAGTGGATGTAGTCTTCTCTATGGTGGCCAAAGGCACCTTGGGAAGGAGATGACATGAGCTCTTCTCTGTAAGCATCCACATGAGCAAACAGTTCTGGATTAGGGACAGGCAATCCCTTGTAAAGAGAAGTCTCAGTGCTCCCACATCTCCACTGCTAGACTTAAAAGTTACAAATGGTTTATTAAACTGAAGCGGCGGTTGGTGTGAATGTTGTACGTTCATGTTGTACAGTTTGGACTCTCTGTATCAGCCGCAACAGTGATGGACTTAGAGAGTGAGAATTAGATTAAACATTTGGGCTGTGATGTTTAGCCTTGGACAGAGGGTAACTTTCTTCTAATAGGTGCCGGATCACTTTAGGTTGCATGGCAAGAAATGACTTCCTGCAGCTGAAAGGTGAAGAGGCTTCAGCCCCAGGAGAGAAAATTAAAGAGAGATATCAGGATTGGGCATGTGCCTAGGGAAGGTATCAAGGGTCAGACACCCTCTCCCTAGTTTTGAGTTTATAAAATCAATTGGGTAAATATCAACAAGACTTGGATTAGGGCAAATCATAGACACAGGTTCTGAGTCCAAGATGTGAAGTTTGTTTTTTCAGTGTCCATATTTGGATTCTTATAGTTAGAAAATTCTCTGATAATGCCCTCCTGTGCCATTTTGAGTTCCTCCTGTCATAGTCTGTTGCAGCGAACATCAGGCAGTCTTTCATAATGACCACTTGCAAGCACTGATTTCTCCTTCTGTTCCCTTCCTATCTCCATATTTTGGGTGCGGGCTACTTCTATCAACCTCCCACTTCATTGGTCTCTTGTGCCAGGTAGAAAATCCCCAACCCAGTGTCTCCTCACCCCAGTTGTGTGGTGCTGGTTTGGAGTGGCCATTACCCAGAATCCAAAGGGGAGTGTTGCCCGTTCCCTGTGGGGTCGGATAATGCCCTCCTCCAACCCCGAGCCCTCAGGGAGCACTGGAGATGCTGCTTCAGCAGAGTCTTTGTGGCTCACCCTCACCCCACCTGCCGCTCGCCCCATCATGCCTATCCCTCCATCATGTAGCTTGTTTACTCCTTGGGCTTGGCCTGTCTTGACCCTGGAGTGGAGGCAGAGTGGATGTTTTGGGAACAGACAGTCCCCACGGTGGGTGCAGCCTGGAGGTGGAGCAGTGAAAACAGAGACCTGAGGAATCCCCTTCAGCTGCACTTACTGGGCAACAGCTGTCCCCAAAGCTGGGCCAGCCGCCAAGCTGTCCCCTCCCTTTGGTCCACATTAATTTAATTCAAAGATCATTTACTCACACAGGGCCAGTTGCACAACTGTCTCCAAAATATAAAGGGCACCCACACACAAACACATACACTTGCTGTAATCCTTCACTGGGTGGTTGGGACAGGCTCCCCCAGAATTTGCCCCCCCTTGCCTTGCGTTGTATGTGTGATATGCTTCTTGAAGCCCCGTCCCCCCAGGTTTGTGCTGCCTCTTTCTCTCTCTACCCACAGTAGGTGAGGGTGGCCATTAGTCTTTCTTTACAGAGGATGATCTTCTGTTTGAAGAAGTCTTCTTTTTAGAGAACCTTGGAAGTTGCCCATCCACAGTTAGTACACCTGGATAGCAGGCTGAGCCGGAACACAGGTCATTTGGTCATAGACTTCCCTGCTATGGAGATGTGTTGTATATCTGTTTGAATTATAGCAGTGTGAAGTGTTTTGTCTAGACACAAATTAGCATATGCAAATATTGTGCAGTGGTGGCCACTTTTGTCCTTTCTTGTGTGTTTGTGTGTGATGCTTTTTTTGGCAGTATGCAAATGGCCACCCTAAATATGAGGCCTCATTCTTCCTTACTGGGCATTTTTGTGTCTTTTTAAAGGGATGGCTTTGTAAATTTGGGTCCTCTTTGAGGCAATGCAAAGGAGGATAAAGCCCCTCTTATATATACCGGTAGATAAAATTATAAGGGTTACATAGATATAAAATAAAACAACAAATATTATTTATATAAACACACACCTAACAAAGCATTTTCCATTGAAACCAGAAGTCATTCAAAATAAATTATGAAAAGTTCTGACAAATGCTTCCTTCTGTTTGGGACATAGGGGCAGAAGGCTGTCTCTAATACTTCTTAATTTGTCACCGCCTGTCCTCAATTTATTACTTATTTTATTAGATTTATTTATTAAATGCTTTCCTTCTTACAATTTATCATCAATGATAAATTGAGAAATACAGCATTAATATGACCACCTTCCCTGTTGTTTATCTATAGTGTTGGATTTCTCAGGTAAACTACTTCTGAACATGGAGGCTCTCTTCTTAGCTATGACTATTTTATCCTCCATGGTTTTACCCCCCCCCCCTTTTAAAAGCCACGTGATTTGGTCCACGGCCAGATGCAAAGGAAGAGGACGAGGCTCTTGCGTCTTCTTAAGAGTTACCAGTACATAGAAGTGGGAATTCCAGCCAGCGCAACTTCTCTCATCCCTTTCACGATACGCTCGCACCTGGCAAAAGTCCCATTCAAGCCCTGCCTTCCTTTGCACCTGGCCACGTCACAATATTTCAGCGGGAAGGAATTCCACAGAGTTAATATTATACTTTGCAAAAGAGAAGACAGGGGCTGCCTTGTGTTCCAGAGGGATTTAAGGAAGAGATAATTCCGAGAAGGAATCTGCACTGCTTTGTGCCAACTTTCGCAAGCTCGCCTGATTTATTTATATGTATATTTTAAACACTGCTGGCTGAGCAGTTTTAGCATCACCTTTGGGGATGCAGAAATCCGTGGTCTCCTGCCACCACCTCTCTCTCCCAGCCTGGCCTGGCCTGAAATCCTCCTCCTCCTCCCTGTCAGGGCACCCGTGACCTCTCCATCTCCTTGAAGGAGAGAAGGCAACGGGGCAGTGGATGGTGCCCAGCAACCGGCTTCACCTTGTATGGACAGTGGCAGGCAGCTGGTGATGCCTGGGGAATGTGATGAGGCAGGCAAGGAGGGAGCGAGAGAGACACTTAATGCGCTTGTGGAAAAGCGAGCTGGGGTGCATGGGGACATCTAGGGTTACCGTGCCTTGTCAGGTGGAGGAAGGGGACAGGCGGAGGGGAAAGCCTCTGCGGGTGCTGCCTCTGGGGTATTGCTAGGGCAAAAAGCTCCCCCCATCTGCTCCGGCCTGCACTCCTTGGTCTTGAGGTCACCTACAATATATCCTCATCGCCACCATCGAACAATTCCCCTAGGGTGGCTTTGGGTCTTGTTTTTCAGACCATTTGAAAGCCTGTCAAGTCTGATTTCAGTATAAAGAACCATCAGTACAGGAGAGGCCTGGGCAATCTAGAAAGCAAGCAAGCTGAGCATGCAGGCACCCTGGTCATTGGGAGACAGTCTTTGTATGCATTTCTATTTAAATGATATTAATGCCTATACATATAAAGTAGCACACACACATTTTAACTCAATCTGTGTTCTCCTCTGCTCTTTTGCCCTATTTTTGGCAGGCAGTGGCCACCCTCAAGTCTCCCCAAACCAGGCATTTATGACGGTACCCCCTTCCTACAATGCTCCCCTGTTTAGGCTGCAATAAACCCATTTTACTAGGGCATTGTCCTGAGCAAACATGGTTTGGATTGCACTGTTAGGTTCTGTGTACGCATCATACTTTTAAAGCACACTCCCTCCCCACTCCAAAAATAATCCTGGGAAATGTAAGTTTGTTAAGGGTGCTCTGCTAGGGGTAAACTATAGTCCCCAAGATTCTTTGCAAGGAGGATGTGCTTTAAGTGTGCTTTGAATGTGCAGTATGTATGCAGCCCTTATGCAGTATAACCGAGTGCCAAGTAACTTGTCAGAAGATCATGTAAACCACTTTAGAATGGCATATGGTTATATGTTACCTCATAAATAACTTGGTCATGGGAGAACTTGGAGGGGGCCGGGGAGAAGGGGAGAGAGAGAGAGATGTTTGGGATAGGGACGCAGCCTTGTCCATGTGGTAGAGGTGGCAAGTGATGTGTTTTAATCTGAGGCACAGAGAAGAGGCAAATGCTCAGTGGGTGTGATGAACAGAGGGAGAACTCTTCATCGTGGCTCATCTAGATTACAGGATCAGAATACAGCACAGCCAAATAACAATGTATTTCAGTGTACTGGTTTTGAGTAGACATATTATTATTATTATTATTTCTTCTTCTTCTTCTTCTTCTTCTTCTTCTTCTTCTTCTTCTTCTTCTTCTTCTTCTTCTTCTTCTTCTTCTTCTTCTCCTCCTCCTCCTCCTCCTCCTCCTCCTCCTCCTCCTCCTCCTTCTAGTAATGGATACCATAAATGGGCTCTGATTCTAACCAGTTCACTGGAATCGACTGCGTTTGCTTTTGCCACTTGCGTTGTTGTTCAAATACAGGTTTCCTAGAGAACTTCAAAAGTCAGGTTTGGCCAGAGCAGCCTTCTCTGAGCTAGTGCCTTCCAGATGTCTTGAACCCAAACTCCTTTCAACCCCAGCCAGCCGTGGTGCCTGGCACTGATGGGAGTTATAGCCCAAAATGTCTAGAAGACATCAGTCTGGCGAAGGCTGAGTTAGAGTGCTAGGCAAGGACTCAGCCATGGAGCTCCCTGGGCGTCCTTGCACTGGTCAACATCTCTCTGTCCAAGCAACTTCACAGGGTTTCTATGGGGGTAAAATGACTGAGGGGAGAACCAATGATGCTGCTCTGCGCTTCTTGGGAGAATGGCAGAGTAAATATGTAATGATAAACTGCATGTAATACTACATTATTTAATGCAGGGAAAGCCTGGGTGGTGCCCCAGCCAGCATAACCAATGGTCAGGGATGTTGGGAATTGTAGTCCAAAAATAACTGGAGGGCCCCATGTTGGCTACCCTCTGAATTAATGGATGGAACAATCCAAAATCAATATTAAGAAATGCCGGGGGGGGGGGATAAAATAAAATGTCATACAAAAATGAACCCTATTGCCTTAACCTAAATAAATGCAAACTTCACCAGATTTTGTTTATGTAAACTGTGGACTTTGAAATGTGGAAGTTTACGCTTGAATTTGCACAAACATTTCCAAAAATATTTTCTAGATAAAAAATGGGAGGAGTACAGTGAACGGGAATCGATTTATTTCGGTCCTTGACCAGAGTGCAAACATATACAACAACAGAGAGCATACAGATATAGATTAAAATTAAGCTCAATGAGCTGATACACAATAAATAATTCAGATATAAAACAGCTAAAATATATAAGTTAAAACCTTAACCGCTAATTTAAAACATATTAAGACATTGGCCGTTAGATGCATTCAGAGCTTGTCGGAGGAGTACAGTAAATACCTCCTGAGCAGTGATCCTTCATTGAAACCATTTTCTTTTTTGGGGGGGTACCCTCTCTGTCTAATCCAAGTCAGTATTGGTCTGTTTTCTTTTTGCCCATTTTGGTGACCCTGACTGGCCGTGCCTTCAGTGTCTACTATCCTCTACTGCCCTCCAGTGGCTAGCCACCCCCCCTGGTTTTCTGATGTACCCTCATTTTCCTCTCTGCACTCTCTTCACAGGGCTTTTGAGGCCCACCTCTTCTTACCCTTCTCTGGCCCTTCTTACTGCAGGCATATTTGTCCAGGGATTCGTGCAGAGACAGAATGAGCAGCCTCCTCTGTGGCATGCATCATTTGGCCTCCCATTGATCACTTTATTTCTTGTGGCACTCTAGCAGTTTCCTCATGCCACATAGTAGTCTGTTCTGCCCTCACAGTCTAGGAATTATTTTTTATGTTAAATTTTTACCCTTGCTTTTTCCTTTCAGTGAAGATGTTCAGAGCAGCTAACAGTTAAAAAGAAATAAATGAACAATTACCTGTCGGTGACTAGAACTCATAAATATTTTCTTTCTTTCTTTCTTTCTTTCTTTCTTTCTTTCTTTCTTTCTTTCTTTCTTTCTTTCTCTTTCCCTCTCCAGTCGGTGACAAAGTCCCAGCTGATATTCGCATCATTTCCATCAAATCCACCACTCTGCGTGTGGACCAGTCCATTCTGACAGGTATGGTAGATGCTGCTGTCATTGTTCATAATTGTATTATTATTACTGATATTACCGTTTCTTTAGCTTTCTCCCTCCCTGCTTTCCTTTTCCTCATGGGCCTGTTTATTTTAATTGTTTACCTTCTGGGCAGAATTTTCTCATGGCTAATTTTATGTCACACTTGTGTGAAAAGCAACTAATATAATATAAATATAATATAATCAATATTGTAAAATGCCTTGTTAGGCACTTAAGAAATAGAGAGAATGTAGTTTTAAATCTCAACAAGCAAGAGAAGACCAGGGAAAATAGACATGTCTTGAGGCTCCTCTCAGTGTGTGGGTCGGTGGGACTACAGAGAAATATTTGCAGGGGGTAGTGAGCTCCATGGAAAGAAAGCAGGGGGTAAGATAAAATTCAGTGGGAAAGGAGTTGAGGAAGGGTTAAGCGCCCCTTCCTGTCTGGCGTTTACCCACTGAAAAGTGCATGTGTGTGTCTTCCCCATGGGACATGTGTTCATGCAAGTATGTCTTGCCTGTACCCACTTAGTCCACCATGGTCCCTCCTTGACAATTTAACTGTTTCTTGACCCCTACCAGGCGAGTCTGTTTCCGTGATCAAACACACTGACCCCGTCCCAGATCCCCGTGCTGTGAACCAGGACAAGAAGAACATGCTGTTCTCTGTGAGTGTGACTGACAGGGCTGACGACCTAACCCTGCCCCCACACAGGTCCAATGTCAATGTTTTGGAGGAACTCATGGGCAACACTGAAATGCATCTCCACAATAATGTGTCGTGGGGAGTAGGGTTTGTGTGTGTGATGTGACATCACTGCATTTGCATTTCCCCGCCCTCTCAAGCAGCAGCCAATGAAACAGAGCTGGTAAAGCTAATGCAGTGAGATTACATCACACCCTTTTCAGCTACAGGTCGCTGGAGAAAATCAGAGAGAAGGCAAGAGTAGATGCCTGTGGCTTTCATGTGTCTCCCTAGTAATGGCAGGGTCAAGAAGGACACTGACAAACTGGAACGTGTCCAGAGGAGGGCAACCAAAATGGTCAAAGGCCTGGAAATGATGCCTTATGAGGAACGGCTAAGGGAGCTGGGCATGTTTAGCCTGGAGAAGAGGAGGTTAAGGGGTGATATGATAGCCATGTTCAAATATATAAAAGGATGTCACATAGAGGAGGGAGAAAGGTTGTTTTCTGCTGCTCCAGAGAAGCGGACACGGAGCAATGGATCCAAACTACAAGAAAGAAGATTCCACCTAAACATTAGGAAGAACTTCCTGACAGTAAGAGCTGTTCGACAGTGGAATTTGCTGCCAAGGAGTGTGGTGGAGTCTCCTTCTTTGGAGGTCTTTAAGCAGAGGCTTGACAACCATATGTCAGGAGTGCTCTGATGGTGTTTCCTGCTTGGCAGGGGGTTGGACTCGATGGCCCTTGTGGTCTCTTCCAACTCTATGATTCTATGATTCTATGATTCATAATATCATATCCCCCACTCCCTCAAGCAGCAGCCAGTAAGAAAAAGTGGAAATGTTAATATGATTGCATGCCATGCTCACCCCACCCCCAGTTCCACATTACAGAGGAGACAAGGCACAACCAAAGTGACCTGCAATCTTGCAAGCAGAGTAATTATGCATATTAAGTACCTTTGCATATACTTGCCTATTTTAAATAAATTTATTTTGCTTCTGTTACTCACTGGGAGCAGAAAAAAGGAGTTACACAGTGCACGGGAGATACTTCTGTCTTGGGAGTTGCTGTTACGTGACAGGCAGGGAGGTGGCTCTCAAGATGTTTAACAGAAATCCCTGCATTTCACCAAAGTGCAGTTCTTGGGGAAAAGCCATGACACCAAATGTGGGATTGAAATGGAATAGGTTTCCAGAATAGACATGCACTTCACAGTCTTAAAGGACTAGACATCTTATTTAGCCTAGGCCATGGGTAGGCAAACTAAGGCCCGGGGGCCGGATCGGGCCCAATTGCCTTCTAAATCTGGCCCGCAAATGGTCCAGGAATCAGCGTGTTTTTACATGAGTAGAATGTGTGCTTTTATTTAAAATGCATCTCTGGGTTATTTGTGGGGCATAGGAATTTGTTCATTCCCCCCAAAAAAAATTTAGTCTGGCCCTCCACAAGGTCTGAGGGACAGTGGACTGGCCCCCTGCTGAAAAAGTTTGCTGACCCCTGGCCTAAGCTCTCAGGACATGGATTCTGCACAGGCAGAATTGCAAAACTGCACAGGTCCCACAGCCTCCTTTAGCACCATTTCCCTCCACTATATCTTTTCTTCCAGCATGTTTGTAGAGTGTCCCTCTCCTTCTTTCCCACTGATCTTTGCTCCCTCCCCACCCCCCACCCCCGCTTCATCCTCCACCTCCCTGCAGGGTACCAACATCGGTGCAGGCAAGGCTGTTGGCATCGTCATCGCCACAGGTGTGAGCACCGAGATTGGCAAGATCCGCGATGAGATGGCGGCCACCGAACAAGAGAAGACTCCCCTGCAGCAGAAGCTGGACGAGTTTGGCGAGCAGCTGTCCAAGGTCATCTCCCTCATCTGCGTGGCTGTCTGGCTCATCAACATCGGGCACTTCAACGACCCCGTCCATGGCGGCTCCTGGATCCGCGGCGCCATCTACTACTTCAAAATCGCTGTGGCCCTCGCTGTGGCTGCCATCCCAGAAGGTCAGCTGAGGCCATTCCAGTTTCCCACATCCACCTGTTGTGGGGCTAAAGAGGGCCAGTCGGTTCCTTCCTTTAAAAATAGCTCTTGCCGTCATCATATTTTGGGGTTTTTATTTTTCTATCTGCAGTTGCTGTTTGTTGGGTGCATTTTGCTTTGCTAACTGTCTTGTACTCTGAACTGTGGACATGCTATCCAGAAGTTTTACAAAAAGGAGCCAAAGTTAGAGATAAAAGCAAAGGTGCAATATTACAAGCATCGTTTTTTAATTAACCACCTGCACGCTGAACAATATGGTGTAAAAAAGCCATTCTAAAAAAGTTATTTGAAGGCACTGCTGATGTACTAGCAAGATGGACAACGAAAAATGGCTACAGCCACCCATCATTCCTTCCTTGCGTGGGCTAAACAGTTTTCAGCTTACCTGCGCCAAAGGATTGTGTGGCATTTCTTCAACAAAACGGAAGTTGAATGAACTTCTGCATTATATCTTGATGTAATTTGCAGTCAGACATTTAACATGCATTTCCTCATTTGCAAAAGGATATAGGAGCTGCCTTGTGCTGCTAGTTTATAAATGGCTAGTCCGTGGCTAGGAGCTGGAGAAAAATTCAATTCAGTTTGTGTTTAACGGTGAACCTACCTAGTTCGCACTTCCCAAAGCAAACACAAACACAGACATTCTTCCAAATTCCCACTTCTCTGCAATTTGCAGTGCAGTTCTCCAGTCAAGCAGTATATCACAAAATGAATATACTAGGGTGAAGTGTGCATTACCATGCATGCATTATTAAAAATAACAGGAAAATGCATTATATATCGGCAGCCACAGTGGAAGTGGAGGGGCAGGATGATCGGGCCCTATCCAGATTCAGTGTTATCGCCTGACAGATTTGAGACTCACCCAGATTTAGTGGGTCTAGAGTCAGCTCAGTCCCACCCCTGCTCCACCTTGAGAATGACCCATTTCAGGGCATACGTACACTTCAGCAGCTGACAGGAGACCAGCTGAACCGGCAGAGCTGGGTAAAGGGCTTCCACCACAAATTCTCTCCCCACACCATAGGGGGTTTGGATTGCTCTGCCCATGCTTTAATGCTGATTTGTACTGTTGTACGCTGCTTTTTTTTTTTAAAGAAAAGGTGGTTTACCCAAAATATTATTAAATGAATAAATCTGCACAAGAGGTAGTGTGGTGGGCAGTAGGAGCTGAAGGGGGTGGAGGCAGCTGAGAGTATCTGAAACCAAAGCCAGCAAATGGATGGCAGCTGCTTGAATGCTTCGCCCATTCCTACGGCTAACCTTTCCCTTTCGCCTCCTCTTCCTCCTCCTCCTCAGGCCTTCCTGCCGTCATCACCACCTGCTTAGCCCTGGGCACTCGCCGTATGGCCAAGAAGAATGCCATCGTCAGAAGCCTGCCCTCCGTGGAGACCTTGGGCTGCACATCGGTCATCTGCTCTGATAAGACTGGCACCCTCACCACCAACCAAATGTCTGTTTGCAAGGTAAGTGGGAAGCTTGAGGCCTGCACTTTTGTCACAAAGTGCCTCCTGCCCACGTCAGTCGCCTTGACCCTGACTCTTCTTTCTCCGTCTCTTTGCAGATGTTTGTCATTGACAAAGTAGATGGAGATATGTGCTCTCTGAACGAATTCTCTATTACTGGTTCCACCTATGCCCCTGAAGGAGAAGTGTGAGTGACTCCTAAAGAAACCCCAACCCTAAACAGTTTTCTTAATCCATCACCCTGAAAGGGGGGGGGAATGAGACACCGTTAAAACCCTAGTGCAGGGGTCAGCAAACTTTTCCAGCAGGGGGCCAGTCCACTGTCCCTCAGACCTTGTTGGGGGCCGGACTATATTTTGAAGAAGAAAAATGAACGAATTCCTATGCCCCACAAATAACCCAGAGATGCATTTTAAATAAAAGGACACATTCTACTCATGGAAAAAATACGCTGATTCCCGGACCGTCTGCGGGGCGGATTTAGGAGGCGATTGGGCCTGATCCGGCTCTCAGGCCTTAGTTTGCCTACCCATGCCCTAGTGCGTCACTTTGGATAATTGGGTAACTCTCCTGAGAGCTTGACTCCCGATCCTTTCTCTTGCTTCTCCCATATGTGGCACAGTCTAAAGATGCCTCCATCCCATTTCTGCTTCATTTCTGAAGCTAAGGCAGATCCGTGGGGCAGCCCAAGAAGCCACCTTGGAAGCTGATAGACAGTGCTCTGAGCTGTTTGAAGGAATGGCAAACTACAAACCAAGCAGACACATATGATCTAATCTTAAAACTGTCTGAATCTTATTTCTAACTCTTAACCTCACACCGAAAGAAATACAGTACCTCAATTTTTGCTCATTGGCCTCCTAGCATTATGATCACCCTATAACCCAGGGCTGGGGAAGCTGTGACACCAGTAACCCTCAGTTCATCTCTCTGCTGTTTGTTTTTGTGCTGTCGCTTACGTTTTTCTGTCCTTCAATTCCTTTCTCTCTCGCACATGCAGTATGAAGAATGATAAGCAAGTCAAGGCTGGGCAGTATGATGGGCTTGTTGAACTGGCTACTATCTGTGCCCTTTGCAATGACTCCTCTCTGGATTTCAATGAGGTGAATGCTTCTCTCTTGGTTCACATCCAGCCTTCCAACAATTGCCTTCAGTTTTGGATGCTTCATTGTTTATTAATAGTGATGGCTTCCCCCAAAGAATTATGGGAATTGTAGTTTGGTGAGGGCAATGAGAAGTTTCTGATAGATATTGATTAATAAAATTTAATAGGCACTCTTCGACTGAAAGCTTCGAGAGCAACTTACACAATGTAAAACAGTAATAAAATAATGATTATTTTTTTAAAAAAATAAAAAACTACTATTAATCATCATTGCAATAATAAAACCAGCACCAACAGAGTAAGCGTAAAAACAAAATTACCAACTAAATTCAGGTTTATTACAGCAAACAGACTGCATAGGTTTAAAAGATGATTAATTAAAGTGGGTAAATAAAGTGATTTTCATTCGACATTGAAAAGATGCCAAATTCAACACCAAGCATTCCTCTGACAGGAGCAAAGGACTCTTAAACCAGTTTAAGTGTAAGAGTGCCCAGAGTGATGAGGCTGCTACTTTTTTGTAGTTGGGAAATGTGGGCTACTTTTTAGGCTGATGGGCACAAATTTTACTACCCTTTCCCTTCCCCACCCACACCTCAACACCCACATACTGATTTTTAAAAAATTAATCCATGTATTTATATACCACCACCTGGAGGGAAAAAATCATGGTGGTATACAACTACGTTTTTAGTATGTTTTTATCATTGATGTTCTGCAATGTGTTTTAATATTGTAAACCGCCCTGGGATATTTTCATTCAGATTCATATTTTGTCAGAATCCCTGCAGCTCTTGGCTGTGCCCGAGTGTCTAACTCTCATCTTCTTCTGCCCATTTTCTCCCTCCCGCCCCAGTCCAAAGGTATATATGAGAAGGTGGGTGAAGCCACCGAAACTGCCCTTACCTGCTTGGTTGAGAAGATGAACGTCTTCAACACAGATGTGCGCAGCCTCTCCAAAGTGGAGCGTGCCAACGCTTGCAACGCTGTAAGTATTGTCTGGTGAGGGTGGCCTCTCTTCAGGGCCCTGCGTTGCTTCTCTTTTGGTTTCTCTCTCACTCTTCCAGTCTTAAATTCCATTCCTTCACAGTTTGTGGTTTTTCTTAAAGTCCTCATGAAAATTCCTCAGCATTTTAGTTTGAATTTCTCCTAATATACACATCTTTGGAAGCATTTTTGCCCAATATACACATTTTTAAGATGCAATTTTCATTTTTGTTTCACATATATATTTGTTTCAATGCACACTTTACCCTAGTATGATTCATACACATTACTTGGCTGAAGAACAGCATTGAAGAAGTGTAAATTTCAAAGGATGGCTGTGTTTCAGATTGTGTATTGTGCAAATTAAAGTGCAAATTAGGTAGGTTCACCTTTAAATGTAAATATCTATCTATCATCTATCTATCTATCTATCTATCTATCTATCATCTATCTATCTATCATCATCATCTATCTATCTATCAACACAAGATTCTCTCCAATACCTTAGTAAGAAGTGCATTTACTCCCAGCTCCTGTTGATCAGGCTAATGAATGCACAAGCACTGGCATTAAAGAAAATGAACTGATATTGATTTTTATATATTAGTAACTTTATGTTAATGAAACGTTTTTATATGTAATTGAGTATTTTGCAGTATTTTGTTTAAGTTGTCTGTTGTTGCTTCAGTTTTCTGTACACGTTTGATGATGTGAATAAGGTGCCACGAGGCTCTTGGTTATTTTTGCTGAAACGGACAAACACAGCTACCCCACTGAAAGTTGATAGCTAATAAAAGTTTTAAGTAACATTTCTGAGCGCTCCAAAACTTTCACATACATTATATTCATGTAATCCTTAGAATGATCCTGCAAGGTAGCTTAGTCCTATTCCTCACCATTGTAGTCTTAGCTGCAGCTGAGAGAAATAAGCTTGCCTAAAGCCACCAAGCGCTCATCCTTCTCATACCTCAGCATTGCAAATTATCTTCTCCTACCTTCCTTATAAAGCCCCACTCCCTAAGATATAAGTGATGATGTCTATAGACTTCTGTATGTCTCTGCTGTGGTTCCATTGGTTGAATGTAAGAGTTCTGCCCACCTACTCAGCTTCCTGTTCTCACAGTGACTAGCCAAATGTGTACAGGAAGCCCCCAAATTGGTCTTGATCATAACAGCACTCCCTCCACTTGCCGTTAATTCCCAGCTACAGTGGTACCTCTGGTTACGTACTTAATTCGTTCCGGAGGTCTGTTCTTAACCTGAAACTGTTCTTAACCTGAAGCACCACTTTAGCTAATGGGGCCTCCTGCTGCCGCTGCGCTGCTCCTGCACGATTTCTGTTCTCACCCTGAAGCAAAGTTCTTAACCTGAGGTACTATTTCTGGGTTAGCGGAGTCTGTAACCTGAAGCGTATGTAACCCGAGGTACCAGTCTACTGATATTCAGAGTTACAATGCATCAGACAGTGGAACGGAACTCTGCCATTGTAGTTTGTAGTTGCCGATTGCCTTCTCCTCCACGAATTTGTCTATTCCTCTTTTGGAGCTACTCTTGTGAGAGCAAATTCCATAGCTTCACTTTGTGCTGTGTCCTGGCAATGTCGAGCAGGTTTTAACCCATTCCCTCCCATTTCCCTTTCTCCTCCATTTCCCCAGGTGATCAAACAACTCATGAAGAAAGAATTCACCCTGGAGTTTTCCCGCGACAGAAAGTCCATGTCAGTTTACTGCTCCCCAGCAAAAGCTTCCCGGGCGGCTGTTGGAAACAAGATGTTTGTCAAGGTCAGCAGCGCCCCGTATGACTGTGTCCCATCTCCCTAGCAACCCCATCTTTGGCCCTGGCTCAGAAGTTTGTCTACTACGTTTCAATCCTGCCTTTTCTTTGAGGAGCTCAGGGTGGCAAGGTTCACCCCAACCCCACCTCCCATTTATTCCTCACAGCAACTGAAATATACTCAGAATAACAGCAACTCTGTGAAGTTGCTTTGCCAGAGTTGTAACAATTGGCCCATGACTATTCAACAAGCTTCATGGCTGTGTTGGGATTTGTACCCGAATCTCTTCCTATTCTGAATCTAAAAATTTAGCCACTGGGCTGAACTACACTGCACTTCAGGTTCCTCCATACACAAAAATAATGCATAAATAAAATCCTCCATATAGAAAACTAGTGTGTCAACTCCCTAACTAGAAGTTTTCTATGCATAGAGTAGATTTTTGTATGGAAGGGCATTCAGTCATGTGAGTCATCTGCTGCAGAAACACATGAGACTGTGGAAGGAGATCATCATTGCAACCAAGGATCTCTAAATCAGTGTTTCCCAACCTTTTTTGGGCAAAGGCACACTTGCTTCATGAAAAAAATCTCGAGGCACACCACCATGCCAGATGGGGAAAGGTCACTTTTTACTTATGTAAAAAAAAAATAAAAAAATAGTAACAGCATAGAAGGTAATGGTTAGGCTAGCATCCCTCTTCCAAATATGCTAGGTTTTTATTTGCAGGGACTGTTCTACATGGGAAAGCATTCAGCACTGTCATTCTCCCATCTGCCATCTGAATTGGTACTATTCTGGGTCAACTTACTCTGCTGCATGTGTAGATGAAAATGGCACCAAGTGTGGGGGAGGGGGCAGAACAGGTTTCAGATACAGGATATTAAGCATACATGTACTTCAGATTGAACTGGTTGCTTGCTTTGCAAGTTTTCATTTCCCAAATGACTGCCTTGGCAAGCGCAATACCTACGAGGCTCAACGCCGGTCTCGCGCTGCCGCTTCCCGCGCTCTCAAGGACCCGGGAGGAGGAAGGCGTGAAGGGAATCCCGAAGGCGCGAAAACCTCGCGCATGCGCAGGCCTTCTGCCTGCGACAGCCCAGTAGGCCGGCTGAAGCGAGCGGCGATGGGATGTGGGAGGGAGCTCGCTCGCCGCCCCGCGTGTGCCTATGTGGGGCACGTTACAGCCCCGTGATGTCAGCGCCACGCAGGCAGCCAGGCAGGCAGACGGCGAGAGCCCCGCGCTGGGCGGCCTCTCCTCGCCGCCGCCGCCCCGCCTCTCGCCGCCCGACTCGCCCGCCTCCCTCCAGGCAACATCTCGCGGCACACCAGGCAACGTCTCGTGGCACACTAGTGTGCCGCGGAACACCGGTTGGGAAACACTGCTCTAAATTACCCCTTTCACTTATTTTACCCATGAAAACAGTTTGCGTGGCGATTCCCGCCCCCTCCCACAGATGGAATAAATAAAGACACAGGACACCAGAATTTAGGTTAATGGGCGAAAAATGGCCACAACTTTATTGATTACAGGTAAGAGCGGTATTGGCTTTAGGCATTGGCCCTATCAGACTAACCGGTATAACCGGGAAGGGTTAAGCACCAACAGGGGGAGCCCCCGAGATGCACATCCCTAGGCGCTCCCCGAGGGGTTACCGCTCGGGAGCGTGCTTTAGGCCCTAGCCTCCGTAGGTTTCGGACGAGGCGACGCCCCCCGGAGTCCTTTAACGAACTACCCTTCAACATTTGGGGGAGGTGATGGCGTTCCTCCCCCCCAACTCATTTGCATAATAATACCCCTGCCAATGCCTAACCGCCACACGAGCCAGCCGCAGCTGCTGAAAGAAAAGAAAGGGGCGAGCATGGGCTGCCCCGACCTTAAATGCCCCGATTGGCTGGCGCGGTGAATGATGAATACTAATGAATCCCGGGATTCCCCTAGTCCCACGGGGCTGTAGCCAGCCCCGCGAGGGTGTGAATGTTGCGTGAGCCCGCAACCCCCACCCCTCCGCATGTCGGGAGTGGCTTTCCAGGAGACTGGCTTGCAGCTTCCCTGACCCATGCACTACTTGGAAATTGCTGAGGGTCTTGGCAGACACCCCCCATAATGATTTGTCTGCGTGTTGTGGCAATAATTATAATAAATATTTTTTTATTTATCCCCCGCCCATCTGGGCGGCTTCCAACACACATAATAATCATAATAAAACATTGAATATCAATATTAACAAAAGTCAAAATAACTTTTAAACAAACAACTTATATCAAATAAAGCAATATTCAATAACCCATTGGAATCCACATTAAACACCAGCAGATAATAATTAAACACTTATCCATTACAATAAAGAATCTATAATCAATAAAAATAACAGCAAACCACACTGCATAAAATACCACAAAACATTTTAAAACATGTAAAAGGGTCAGATTGAGAAACAAGGACCCACAACTTATAAAATAATTTTTAAAAACTATCCCTGGACTCCTCTCTTCCCAGTTGTTCTGCTGTTCTCAAAGTCATGGTCTGGGAAAGGCTCCCGGGGCCGGAGGGTGGAGCAAGGCAGGTGGAAAAGCTGTTGCCTGCAGAAAATCTCTCTCCCCTCAGTTCTTCCTCTGCAGCAGATGCTGTGTTCTGCTAGATGCTGTATTATTTTAAATTGCATTTTATTGCTTTTTTCAATATTGTATTTTATTGTAGCATGATTTGAATTATGCAGAAGAAATAAAAGAGGCAATAAAAATCCGATTAAAAATCAATACGAATATTTCACGTGGCAGCTGTGCCGTCTCCTGTCTCCAACCACAAATCCATATAGACATGGGATGGACCGCCTGACTGAAACTCAAGGACCATTGATGGTCCACGGACCACAGCCTGGGAACTTCTTTTCCAGAATTTCCATATAAAAGCTCTAGTACATGGTCAGAAATACCGTTTGCCACCCAGCTCGCTTTCCCCTCAAGTCACAATATCTGTTTTTACTTCTTTCTCACGTACAGGGTGCCCCTGAGGGTGTGATAGACCGTTGCAACTATGTCCGTGTGGGCACCACCCGCGTTCCCCTCACCCCCGTCGTCAAGGAGCACATCATGGGAGTCATCAAGGAGTATGGCACAGGAAGGGACACCCTCCGCTGCTTGGCCCTGGCCACCCGTGACACCCCCCCAAAGAGGGAAGACATGGTCCTTGAGGACTCCACCAAATTCGTTGACTATGAGGTAATGCTGAGGGCAAATCGCGTGGCGAGTGACAGGGAGGATGGAGTGCCGAGTTAAGGTGAAGAGCTGAAAGGAATTTAGGGAAAGGATTCCCTCAAGCCAATTCTTCTTCTTTCCCCCCAAAAATGTGAACATATATCCTCCTGTTTCAGGCTGCATTGTTGTGGTTGTCTGTACAACATTCCCAATTATGGATTCTGTTGGATTTTAGGGGAAATGTGTGCAGTACTGAATTTGGTACATTCATATTTACAGTGCCTTAAAATGCCTTGGCAGGACTCAGCCTTCAGTACCACTGTCCTCACATTTCTAACACAAGTTTTAAGAGAATAACCATTTTCTTAAGGTGAATAAAGAGCACCTCTAGGCTCTCAGCAGATAATTTTAAAAAAAATTCCCCACCCTTTCTTCAGTTTGCTCATGGTGGTGCACATGACCCCACACATGACTTCACCCCTTGTGAAGTGGGTCAGGCTGAGGGAGGGCGACCGGCTCATGGTCACCCAGTAAGCTTTGTAGTTGTGGCTTATAGCGATCAGACGGGCTGTGAGCTTTTGTCCACTGCTTTCGGAGCCTATTCTGAGACATCTCCCTTCCACAGATGGACCTGACCTTTGTGGGCTGCGTAGGCATGTTGGACCCACCCCGCAAGGAGGTGATGGGCTCCATCCAGCTGTGCCGTGAAGCCGGCATCCGCGTCATCATGATCACAGGCGACAACAAAGGCACAGCCATTGCCATCTGCCGCCGCATTGGTATCTTCAAAGAGGATGAGAACGTGTCTGGCAGGGCCTACACCGGCCGTGAGTTTGACGACTTGCCCTTAAGCGAGCAGCGGGAAGCCTGCAAGAGAGCCTGCTGTTTCGCTCGTGTTGAGCCGACGCACAAGTCCAAGATTGTGGAGTTCTTGCAGGGTTTTGATGAAATCACAGCCATGGTGAATAGACGGACGGCAATGGCAGGGTGGGAGGATGGTTGGAAGGGCAACAGGGGGCTTGCAGCCAGCAACACCTATCTTGAGGGTACAGAGGGAAATAATGTAAACCTGTGCATATCATCATGCGTGAATATTGCCCACGGAAGTGTCTGTTTTAGAGAATGCATATGATGGGAATTCGCTGCCAAGAAACAGACATATAGGCAGCCATTACATATGATGGTATACATGGGTGTCCATTTCCTCCTCTACTGCAGTGTAGACTTTTATGTGGATAAAAGTCCTCTGTGACCCTCAGTTTCACCCCACATGGCCTTTCTGCATTAGACCAAAGATCCCATCCCATATACAGTGGCCAGCCAGATATTGCCCCTGCAGAGCCTGGATGCAGCCATCTTCTCCTGACTGTTGCTTCCCAGCTTCCTCAGTGAATAGGAGGTTCCATTTATTATCCACCATCCAGCCCCTTATTAACTTGTTTTCCATGCACATGACTGGTTTGAAAACCATTATCCAAAGCTGCCATATCCCAAGCCAGTCCATTGCTCCATCTAGCCCAGTGCTGTAGGCACTGAAAGGCAGATGCTCACCAGGGTTTCAGACAGGAGTCCTTCACAGCCTTACCTGGATATGCCAGGGATAGAACCTGTTTTGTAAACAAGGCTGAGCTACGGCCTTTCTTCATGCTAGCTAGTGGCCATCACTGTATCCTGCAAGAAATGCATTCCATGTCCTGAAACACTTCCCCTTTCATTGCTTGACCCCGGGTTCTAGTGGAAAGAGAAAATCTCTCTTCATTTTCTCTAAACCATGCACAATTTTATAAACTAGTATGAAGCCCTCCTCCCCAGCCAGAGAGACCCAAATGCTTTGTGCTTTCCTCTTAGAAAAGGTCCCTGTTCGCTTTTGCTTGCCCCTTCCCCAGCTCTATGATATCCTTCGTGATATCCTTTGTGCAAAAGTGCACCTTGGCCTTAGAAATGAAATATCCCCAGCTAGGCTGCTGCATTTGATCCTCTCTGCCTCGGTTGACTCCCTGTCTCCTTCCGCTTCCTCCTGGTAGACCGGTGACGGTGTAAATGATGCCCCAGCTCTGAAGAAGGCTGAGATTGGTATTGCCATGGGCTCTGGCACCGCTGTAGCCAAGACCGCCTCAGAAATGGTGCTGGCAGACGACAACTTCTCCACCATTGTGTCCGCCGTTGAGGAGGGCCGGGCCATTTACAACAACATGAAACAATTTATCCGCTACCTCATCTCCTCCAACGTGGGTGAGGTCGTCTGGTAAGGGATCCCCCTCCCTCATCCCCTTCACGAAGCCTTCATTAGGCAAGCCCTGCCGCCATGCTGACTAGGCTCAGCAGAAGGGCTGAGAGGGTCCGATAGCACGATAATTGTGGCCAGGCCTGCCTGCCCTCTGGCAGCTGCACATGTCACCACTGCTTCACAAGGGCTTCCTCTCTCCTCACTTTTTGTTTCTCTCCTCTTCCCCTTGCAGTATCTTCCTCACCGCTGCTCTGGGTCTCCCTGAAGCCTTGATCCCCGTGCAGCTGCTGTGGGTGAACTTGGTGACTGACGGGCTCCCAGCCACCGCCTTGGGCTTTAACCCTCCCGATCTGGACATCATGAACAGGCCCCCTCGCAGCCCCAAGGAGCCCCTGATCAGTGGCTGGCTCTTCTTCCGCTACTTGGCCATTGGAGGTAACAATTTTTTTTCTCCCTGGGGCCCTGCCCTCTTAATCCAGAATACGGACATCCTGCATCCCTAGTTTTCGCTCCTGTATACAAATCCTGTACTCTCTCACCCGAGTCCTACCTACGTGCAGTGCCGGATTTACGTATAAGCTAAACAAGCTATAGCTTAGGGCCCCACTCTCTTGGGGGCCCCAAAAAATTTAAAGGGGGAAAAATCCTGGATGTACATTTCCAAACATAAGATAAACACCAAATAAAATAAAACCTACATACAGCAGGTGTATGTAGGCTCCTATGATATAAGTAATGGGCCCCACTTGCTAGCCTGCTCCCTAAAATATCACTGGTTTGCTCATTTCTATATATAGGGTGCCTACATTCTGCATGGACTGGTTGCAGGGCAACATGTAGCATTCAGACTGCAGTGCAGCACAGTTCAATGTAGGTCAAGTGGTTGAACCCGTTATCTAATATTAAAGAGTGCTTGTAGACTGGTGATCAGGCAGCATAGACTAAGGGTATGGGTCTTATGCCTACTGACTGATTTCATGTAATACATAATTTATTTATTTTGATCCCATTATAAAATTACTTAGAAAAACATTCATCTTTATTATTTAGTAGGCCTATATTATTTACTAGTACGGTTCCCTATTACCCCCACTTGCTACTATAATACTATATATAAATATTACAATTAAATTAAATATTTTACTTAGTTATAAAGGGCCCCATTACCTTCAGAACTTAGGGCCTCATCAGACCTAAATTTGGCCTGAAACCTGAACCTGTAATCCATATTGAGGGCACCTAATAATCCAAAGGAGCACAGCTTCTTTTGAAATCCGCATTTGGCCACAACCCTCTCCATTTCACTTCCCCTGCAGGCTGCTCTTAGAGGGCAGTTGTTTTTTGGGGGGGAATTTCTGCCCTCTTCTTCGTTCATGCTAAGCTTTCCTTTTAACACCTGCGTGCAGGATATGTCGGAGCTGCCACTGTTGGTGCCGCCGCTTGGTGGTTCCTGTATGCTGAAGACGGACCTGGCGTGTCCTACTACCAGTTGGTGAGCTTGAACTTCTGGGTGCTCTACTGGAAGTGAACTGCGGGAGGGCAAGATCAGTGGTATTCTGCAACATGCCCTGTTTCAATCCTCTTCCCCACTTTCTCCTTCTGCCCCCCAGTCTCATTTCATGCAGTGCACAGAACACAACCCTGACTTTGAAGGTTTGGAATGTGAGATCTTTGAGTCCTCTGTCCCAATGACCATGGCTTTGTCCGTCCTGGTCACCATTGAGATGTGCAATGCACTCAACAGGTAAGGGTGCCCGTGAGAGTCAATCTTCAGCATTACTCACATAGCGCTGCCTTGGAGGTTCTTCAGAGGTATCCTCCCTAGTCTCATCCCCCAGATACCCTGCTTCCTGGCCAGGGCTGTGGTTCCAGGTCTGTGATTCCATTCATCTCTTGGGGGGGGGGTGACACGACATATTACATACAGGAGAGCCAGCAACTGGCTGATCTTTAAAGAACCAGTGTCTATTGATTTATATTGACAGATGGCTTAAGTGTTGGGTTTTCCCTGTCTCCCACCCAATGGTAACTTCACTCTGCTTCTCTGTCCTACACAGCCTGTCAGAGAACCAGTCCTTGGTTCGGATGCCCCCCTGGGTGAACATCTGGCTTCTGGGATCCATCTGCCTCTCCATGTCTCTGCACTTTGTCATCCTCTACGTTGACCCTCTGCCAGTAAGTGTTGTTCAAGCACAGCTTGACTTCCTTGCCAGCTTCAGGATCAGTTCACTCCCTCTATGCCTTCTCACCACCACCCAATTGCTCATTCTTTGATCGCTGGCAGATAAAGGTGTGAAAGGCTACGTTGAAAAACACTGGCGTTGTGCTGTGTTTGGTGATATAGAACTGTTTGCCCTTCATGATTAAAATAGGAATTTTGTGCCCTTAATTGGGAGAGCAACCCCCACTTAAATCCATGACGCTTACTTTTGAGCAGACTGATATAGGATTCCACTGTTTATTAGTTGCACTTAGTTTCCATAGAAAACAGCACTTAAGTTAAGGCATCATGAGTAACTTGTCCCACGAATTTCAATGGCGGCAAAGGCTGCAGTTCTAACTCTTCTTACCTGAGAGTAAGCCCCATTGTATTCAGTAGGGCTTCCTTCTGAGTAGACAAGGTTAGGATTGCACTGTTAGTCTGGACCCAGTCCATGATAGCTAATTTTAGGAGTTTGGATTGTTGTTCTCTACATTTTCACACCCATTTATGTGTTTTTTTTAATCCTTATGAAAATGCATCATTTTAAGGTGAATTTCTCCGAATATACGCATTTTTGTGTTCAATTTTGCCTTATATACATGTTTGTACAAAGCATATTTTCCTAACATTTACATTTTCCTTAATAGAATGCATTTCGGCATGTTGTTTTCACTAACACATGCATTTCTATGGACACTCCACATTAGTCTATGTGTTTTAGTAAAAGTTACTTGCCTGGAGAAGCGCATTGCAAAATTCGGAGAAATAATGGTTGTGTTTCAGTTCACCTGTTGTTTCAGGAAGTGCAGGTTAGGTAGATTTGCCTTTAAGTGTGAACTGAATTGCATTTCTCCCTGCAACCCTAGCAAACACTGACCTCTCCCTTTGCTCTTGCTCTTCCCAGATGATCTTCAAACTCACCCACTTGGATATCCACCATTGGATGGTGGTGCTGAAGATATCCTTGCCTGTCATCTTACTGGATGAGCTGCTCAAATTCATTGCCCGGAACTACCTGGAGCGTAAGCCATCCTCCCCTCCCTTCTCCTGGGTTGGTCTCAATCCTTGCCCCCACCCCACCCCTTTTGAAGCCTTCTCTTCCTCCTGCCTATTTAAGGGAGTCAGGAGCACCAGATGAAAAGCACCAGGGGGGGCATCATTGTGGTGAGAAGAGAAGAAACTGAACGTCCTTCCCTGCTGACCTTTTCTGTCCCAATTCCTTCCTGTCTTCTTTCTCTCACCCTCCACCATCTCCATGTGCACCCATCCAGGGCAACTCACGTTAGATGTTAGATCCAAGGCTGGGGAAATTTTAGGTGCTTGTTCTTTCAGGGTTCTCCTCCCAGATGATCACTTTCAATGCTGCCTTCTAAGAACTGAAATAGCCTCTCAGTGCTGTTTGTAACCAGGCGCTTGAAAACTTGACGTTTCTGGTAGAGGCAACAGCAGATGCATGCTCTATAGGGGATACAGGTGCCTAGAAGTGCCTGGATATTGAGGTTGTCTTGTGATTTCTGAGAATGGAGCACACTCCACTGGGTTGGAATCGGTGGAGGAAGGTGAGATGGGAAATGCCCAGGATTACTGGGTCTTCTCCAAGAATTTGTAAGTTAATGTGAATGACAGAGGAGAACCAGGACTCCTCTTCCATATCCAGTGCCCCTAAATCAGCTTTTCATGACCTAGTGCCCTTCAGATGTTTTGGACCATAATTCCCACCAGCCTCAGACAACACTGCCAGTGGTCAGGGATGATGGGAGTTGTAGTCCAGCAGCATCTGAAGGGCACAAGATTGGAGAAGGCTGCCTTAGGTAGTCCTTTATGGGTTGGCATCATTCCATTCCATTCCATTTCACCCATCCAGACTAATCATCTTATCTTCTCCTTTCCCACCTTCTCCCTAACGTCTATTAACTCTGATTTCTTTTATCCTTTCCCTCTTGTAGCATAGACTCCTTCCCCCTCTATTCTCCTGTATCCTGCCTCCCAGGTATCTTACCACCCTTGACAGCATGCCTTGCTTGTCCTCTCGGCTGCTCCATCCTATCTGTCTGTTCATCCATGTGGGAAGATTTGCAATATCTGTGGGGAGCTGGCGGGAAAGTGCCTCTTCTTTGCTTGAACTGTCTCTTTGCTGCATCTGGAATTGTCCAGGGAACTGGGACCCAGCTGCTTGGCTGGTGGGTCAGGAGAAAATCCTGCCCCAAAAAGAGGACCGCTTGTTAACTTTTGACTGCTCCAGGAAACATTCCCTTTTCACTGAAATAAATGATTTTTAATTATATTAACTATTCAGTTAAGAGGAGGCAATAATTAGCATTCAGTCAGTATTTAAAATTATGAAATATAATTAACAATAATTTGTGGACATGAATTTGGTCAGCGTGGGCCTAAACCCTAATGCAAGTCAAGGTTGCTACTTAGCTAGTTTATAGCTGGCAATTTGGCTGAGATGTATGTGTTTTAAATACTCGGGCTCTATTTATTTTAACAAACTATCCAAATGGTTTTCAAGCTAAATACCTTGAGGAAATCTGCATTGACTCATCTGCCAAGGAACCCTGTGCATTGCAGAGGATTGTGGGACATGTTCTAGAACTGACTGTGTTTCTCCATAGCTCAGTCTACGGAGCACGAGACTCTTAATCTCAGGGTTGTGGGTTTGAGCCCCACGTTGGGTGAAATATTCCTGCATGTCAAAGAGTTGGACTAGATGATCCTCATGGTCCCTTCCAACTCTAGTATTCTATAATTCTGTGATAAGTTTTTGACTCATAGGTCAGAGCCTGACATAAGATAAGTTGCACCAGTGGTTCCACAATATATCAACTGTAATTTGGTGTGGATACTACACCAGTTTTCTACGCATATCATCCATGAATCCCCCTGAAAATAGCAACAGTCTAAAGGTGCCCTGAGAAGCCTTCCTGGAACACGGTTTGAAAACCACTAAGCTATTTTGTAGGGCCATTAAAAAAAGTGGCAACCTTTCATGCCAATAATAACAACATGTTAAAGCTGTTTAATCCCTTTGGGTTTTTTGAGCCCTGCATTCTAAATTCCAAATTCTAAATTGGAATGCATTTGCTGAAAACTTGAACACTGAACAATATAATTGCAGGCATGATTGTTAGCACCGGATCCTCTTTGGGCCCCATCTGTTCCCAGGAGCTGCCTTTTTCCACCTTCTGCACGCACCCAAATAAGCCCATTTGGCCTCAACACTTGAGAGATAGTCATGGCTTTAACTTGGGTGCATACAGAACGGGGAAGGTCTTTCAGCCCCATCTGCTCATCGTCAGCTCTCCATGGCTGTGCCTCAGCTGCCTTCACTGCCCACTGCTAGTTGCCCCATGTCGTGCCTGGCCAGTCTCTCATGGACAATCGCTTGGCCCCATCTTTCCTGGAAGGGATGGGGTGGCCTGAGCTCAGGGCTGCCCCCTTCACTGGACCTGCTGCTCTTGCTGTTGCTGGTTTCTACACCAAGGTGGGATGAGGTTGGCTAGGCAAGGAACGTAAAGCGGAGGTGCTTTTGGTGGGGTGAGCTTTCCTCTGCTGGGGGTTCCTCACAGTGTGGCTGGCATGCGTGGATCCAGGTGAGTGAATATCCCACAAGGTCTTGCTCACTCCTGTTAACCCCCTGCCATTCTCTCTGAGGCGCTAAAGCCCTATGAGTACTTTCCAGAAACCAAGTCCCACTGAATCTGTAGGGTTTATTTCTCCTGAGTGGACACAGACTGTAATCAGGCCAAACTAGGCATGACCAAAGCTCCCCATCCTATTCCACTCATAGTGCTAATGGCAGGGCTTAGGGTGTTGGCCATTAGCACATTTGCAGGACAATCTGAGGGGTTGAAGAGGAGAATTTGTAGGGGTGGTGGTGGTTAAGCCTTCCTGACCTATTTATTTTCTCTTGCAAATGCCACACACTCCCAAGAAGTTTTAATTCCCTCTCTCACCCCTCAGCTGGGCTCTAGGGGTATGTGGGCCTAGTTTGGAGAGGAAACTGGCCTTGCGGGGTTGGGAGTGGCTCAGTAGCAGATAAACATGGCACCCTTCTCCCTGTCCTACCCTGTTAGTGTCCCCTTGGCCCTGCATTTATGGGCTGGGAGGATCACACCTTTGTTGGGAGGTGGCATCTAATTTGTTTAGTTCAGAGAAATTAACATGGGGCTCAAACGCTCTGTGTTATCATGTCCACGTGAAATGTTATTGAGTCCTCTCAAATCGGGTGGAGCAATGGCTTCTGGTAAGGAGGGGGACACCTGCCATCCAACTTTATATCTGACAAGACCCTTGAGTCTGTGTGCTAGGCAGAAATTCAACAGGTGGAGCTTTCCCAAACAATGATGCAGAAATCTGCAGCCGTTGAATTTCTGCCTATTATTATCTGTTCAAGGCAGAGGAGGGATAGAGGCATTAGGTCTACTCCATGTCCATCTGCTTCCTTGCTCAAGACCTTTCCGCCGCTTATCTTAGAGCGTCTGACTAGAATGATAAGTGAGGCAAGCCACTGTGGCTGGGTATTATTCCCCACGTTGTGAAGCTCCAGCCGCGTGGCCTGATTTTGGCAAGGGCCTGCTGTTCGAGGTTGTCTATCTCACTGCTGTGGGGAATCTGGAACTCGTCTCTGCTTCTCTGCCCCTCACTCTCTCTTCTCTCCTCCCCACTCCCCCTTTTACAGATAATTTAGACGAAAGGATGAAGAAGTGAACCGCCGAGTCACCGCGGAAATAACCTCTTCAACAAAATCGTGAAGATATACCCACTCCCCTCACTCCTCAGCCATGTCTGCTGCTCCCACCCCTGCTTCTTCTCTGCCCGCCCCTTATTTAATACCCAACTTCTTCCCCACAAACCCTCCGTACCTCCTTTTCATTGGGGACTTACCAGTGTGGGCCACAGAACTGGCACCTGCCATGCCGTGTTCCCTGCCAGCTTCCCCACCCCCAAAAAGCACCACTAGCTACTTGGCTTCTGTACATTTTGAGCCACCTGCCCACCCCTTGCCCTGCTCTCTCTCTCTCTTTCTCTTTCTCTCTCTCTCTCTCTCCCTCACTCACACACACACACTCTCTCTCTACCCCCCCCCCCGCTTTCTGCATTAGTGCCCACACGAACTACGTTCGTTCCCCCCTCTTCACACGACTAGAACCCACCTCAAACCAGGGGTTGGATTTTTTAATGCACACATAAAACAGAAGGAAACATTTTGTTAGGGAAAACAAACAAAACAAGTGAGACTCCTCAACTTGGAGGAAATGAAGAGATTCTTCTAGCTGCTTATTTATTGATATTAAAGAATAAACTCTTAACTGTTTCGAATGCTTCTGGCTTTTCTTTCATTGCTTTGGTCAAATGGTGGGGGGAGGGAGAGAGGCACTGAAGCTGTTTTTTACAGAAAGTCCCTTACTTCCTTGGAGCTTGGTTGCAGCTCTCTGGCCTCATCCACACTTACATTTTGCCCCATGTTTTCTAGGCACAGGCCTGTGCTTGAAAACACTGTGTCTGAGCACTCCCCCCCCCCCCAGCGTTTTCCCTGCAAAACCCCACTCTTTAATGCTGAATTGGAACAAATGCAATTCGGGTTTTCTATAGTTTGCCCTCTGATTCAGTGGTAAAGACGTGGAAAGTCACTGATCAAGCATTTTCGTTTGTACAAACATTGCTAAGCAAGCATCGTATCTAATACTTTACCATAAGCAAGCAAAGCGTCCTGTCAGATCCTTGGCAAAAGCGATGACTCTTCATCCTGGAAACAAAGAGGGGGAATTACTTCCTCAATCGTTGTGCATTACAGCAAATGCATGTGTTCTAACTGGAAGTGACAGGTTTCAGTCTGTCTGGAACAAGGGCAAGGAGTTACCAAACTTGTTGCTTTTGCAGATCACGGGTTGTTTTAAGTTCCATTTTCTATTCCTAAGAGTTTGCATCCTTTGAGTCGGGCAAATAATAGTTAGCAGAAAGAAGAGCTGAGCAAATTGGATTCTCAGCCCCTTTTGGGCTAATGCTGATGCGTACATATGTACACATTTACGTACATTTACATGTACAGATATATTTCATCCATAGTTCCAGACAGGAAATTCTGGACGTGTATATAAACAGGAATTTAAAATGACATAAATAATGGTTTAGGACTGATATTAAAGTGCATAAGAAGAAAAAGCAACATAAAAAAAAAGAAACAGCAACATGACATTAAAAATACGACTGCATCTAGTAGCCTTATTAATAATTATTATTATTAATGAGGCTACCACACCACCCACTGAGCCTTTACAAATAACCATGTCTTCCTGCCAAAAGTGGTTGAGCCAGGCAGTCCACTTCCAGGGAGGCAACCTAAGAGATGCTGTCTTGTGGCGGTGGCAGTGGGGCACTCAAATTAGCTGAGCCCCTGGCAGGTGTGTGACAAGGCACTGCGATCCCCTCCGAGAGAAAAACTAAAAGGAGTGGAGAGGCTTCAGGGAGAAGCGCACAGATGACGGAAGGGTTCAGCTTCTGCCTCCTGCCTGCCCATGCTGTGTTGAACGGCCTCCTGTTTCATGATCTCGGTTGCTCTGGGTGCCACACTATGTCTGGTTTCAGCCTCAGTTCCTGACTGTTAGAGCTGTGCCCACACGTTCATCCGCTCCAGCTGCAGAGAAAGCTCGTGAACCACAGGCCCCTGAGGACAGAGGGTTAACTTATTTATACCACAAGGATGCATGCCTGTAAGAATGCAAGGGCTCTGCTGGGTTGCCCCTGCAGTTGTGCCCCTTCTCTCCTATTTCCACTGGTTCCACTAGTTCAAATGGAAGTAGGGCTGTCAGAGTTGTGTTAGTCACGTGACCTGCTTTGCCTGCAACTCCTGTTACTCTCGGGTGCGGTGGTGGACATTTTTTGTTGTTGCTACTATTATTACTATTACTATTATTACTATTATTATTATTACCCACCCTTCACACTAAGGACTCCAGGCACATTACATCAATTAAAACATGATATTAAGAACAGTTTAAAACCACTTACAAGTACAGAAATAGGGTGGGTCCTTATACAAGTCATGTGTCAAAAGCTAGGGAAAAGCGGTACGTCAACTGCCACCAGAATAGGGAGTGGCAAACCTATCAGTTTCAATTTCTCTCAGTTTCTCATTTTTCCAATCTTAATTTCATTTTTTTTTACATTTTTTATTTGTGATTTTCAGTTATATACATTTCAATAGTTTTATAGTCGTTTTAACATTTCAAAACTCGACTTCCTCCTCTGCAGTTCCTTAAATTTATCATTTCCTGCATATTCTAAATTAACTTATTCTTTTATTCATCTAATTTAATTATTTACTCTTATGAAACTGCAGGTTATTACAATAATCCTGCCAATGTCCCTATCTGGTTACAATTTATTTGTACATATTCAATAAACCATTCTTTTATAAAGCTGCCCCTCACAGCAATCAGGCCACTCAGGACAAGTGGTCTCCATCGTCCGCCATTGTCTGCAGCTGGCCGCCATTACCTGCAGCAAGTGGGCACCCTATCAAATGACAAGGCAGGAGCTACACGGAGCAGGGCCTTTTCACTGGTGGTGCCCGTTGTACGGCTCGCTCTTTCCAGACCTGCCCTCTTTTGGCCTGTATTTTGGAGCTTTATAATCTAGGAAGATTTTGGAGTAACAGGTTGACAAGTCTTATCAGTCGCTGATGTATGAGCGGATTTTATTTGCTGTTATTCTGGGTTCCTGGTGCACCAGGGTTTACACCAGTGTAATAGAATTGGCCAGGACGAAAGAAGGGATACAATTTATGAGCTTTCTCCATTATCTGCACAGCAGGGGGTGTTCAGTCAACAATGCAAAGGCTGAGCTGAAGCATTTCCTGCTGGTTACCTGCTTTCAGCTATAGGGGTTGCTGTTTGGTAGGACCCAATTGGTTAGCTGTCAGATTCTAGAGCTCCATATTGGTGGCTCTTAGGTAATTCCAAAAATACAGAGTCCATTAATAAAGCACAGTGTTCATTCATAAAGCAGTAACATAAAGCTCCATTGCTACATATTGGGTGTACATTTCAGCGGTTGAACGTACAGCTTTATGGCCATGCTGTAGTGTAGTGCTTATGTGACTGTGAATAAAAGGTGGCTGGGCTCATCGTCCCGGGGTTTGGCGCGGGGAGGGGGAGGTGACAAAACTGATTTCCAATAAGTGCCCCCCTTTATTTCCATTATAAGTCCTGTACTCTGAATAGTGACACCAAGGGCCTAGAAGGTGCAGGGCTTCTCTGTCCAACCCCTGCATAGACTCATCAGGGCTGACCTTAAGGCAATTGGAACAATTGGGCCAAATTGAGCCCTGTGGGCCGCTCCTAAGAGGGCCCCTACACCAAGGCAATCTAGATGGGTTTTATTTATATCTATGAGATTTTGCAGACTTTGGCTGTGAACTGGGCCTCACTTCTTCAAATTGGGCCCCCAATGGCTAGCCCTGAGTCTCATAGTTGCTGAGCCTGAATTTCCCTGCTCTTGCATGAAGTCTTGGGTTTCCAATTTTGGGAGAGGGGAGACTGCGGCACTGGGGAGATGGCAGGCTGGTGAGGCGCCCTAGATTTAGAGGCCCAAGTTGCCCTGCCCTCGCATGAAGTATTGGGTTTGCAATTTTGGGAGAGGGGAGGTTGCTTGCTGGGGAGCAGGCAGGCTGGTGAGGCCCCCTAGATTTAGAGGCCCTAGGATTCAGCCAACTTAGCCTATACATAAATCTGGCACTGTCTATATAAATAGCTCCTCCTTCACGGCCTGGGCAGGCCGTCAGGTTTGTTTGTTTTTACCAAAGTTATTTTAAACATTTTTTTCAATTCATTATACCGGTACTTGACTAGAGAAATGCATTGGCAAATTCAGAAATGTGTGAATTTCGAAGAATTGTGTTTCGGTTCTCGTATTGTTTCAGAAAGTATGAATGAGGGAGGCTTGCCATTAAGTGTGAACTGAACACAATTTCTCCCCCATGCCTACACCAGAACGGAAGTACGATGCAATGGGGAGTCTGATAGTGACTGGCCCCTGCCCAAGGGCCAACTACCACCATCAGCCCTTTAGGAAGGAATCTTATGACTTGCTTTATGTTGATTGTGTTTTGAAGGTTCTTAGTTGTTTGCTGGTTTGCTTTGTTTTGCAGTGGCACCGATGTTACCGCTCAGGACTCCCGTGCCCTATTTTGGCACTTAAGGCGAAACAGGAAGTGCAACCCACTTGCCACCTCCATTGTGCACTTTTATCTTGTGAACTGCCCTGAGACCTTTGGATGAAGAGCGGTATATAAATCTACTTTTAAAAATCTTACACATTGTTATAGGAATTCAAATAATAATAATAATAAGAAATTTTTATTTGTATCCCGCCCTCCCTTGCCAAAGCCGGGCTCAGAGCGGCTAACAACAGGTAACAATAGCACACTGTACATAAAATCACACAGTCAATTAATTAAAATACATTCTAGAATCAATTCAGAATCAAATTAATGGGAGCCACCGGGTTAGAGTTCTATGAATATTACAGAAAGAGAGAGAGCGTCAAACTGTGCCTTGGCCAAAGGCCTGGTGGAACAGCTCTGTCTTGCAGGCCCTGCGAAAAGATGTCAAGTCCTGCAGTGCCCTAGTCTCTTCTGACAGAGCGTTCCACCAGATAGGGGCCACAGCCGAAAAAAGCCCTGGCTCTGGTCAAGGCCAGTCTAACCTCCCTGTGGCCCAGGATCTCCAAGATGTTTTTATTTGAAGACCGTAAGGTCCTCTGTGGGACATACCAGGAGAGGCAGTCCTGTAGGTACGAGGGTTCTAGGCCGTATAGGGCTTTAAAGGTTAAAACCAGCACCTTAAACTTGATCCTGTATATTTGCTTCTCAATATTCTCTGGCTGGCCTCTGTTATTTTCTCCTACCGATAGAGAACCTACATAAGGACTGTATACGGACTCTTGGATAC